ATCAGTTCTTTCGTTTGAAAGGAAGATGGAAGAATGGAATTCTAAAATGAACCCGTTATTTGAAATAACGGTGGATGCAAAAGGGCATTCAAGTTTGTTATGCATCTTCGAAATACCCTTATTCAATTTAACAAGTAGTCATTTTTTATTTTTTTATTTTTTTATCTTCCTTTTATAATAGTTATCAATATCTTTTTAAATGCACGTGTTTTTATGCACTACAGAAATTAGTAATATGTGAATATGCTTGGTCCTTTGAAATGATTAAGTGTGTTTTTGTACATGTGAAATGGTAAGTTTGCTATATTATACTTTTTATATTTTTATTTGTAATACACGTTATTTTGATTATTGTTTTTGCTATCTGATGATTGGTTCTCTTAATTTTTATATTTTTGTTCTCGCGTTTTTAGTTTAAAATATTACATTAAAATTATGACTTAAGCTCATGTTATGACTATGCCTTATTTGTTTTTATTAAGATTAAAACGACTGAATTTGAATGGACATCTAAAGATTAAGATGTATATTAAGATTAAGACGTTGAAGCTAAATAGTAAGATGCGTATTAGAATCTGAATACTAAATAATTAAGACCATTTGGTTTTTAACATTTAAATATATTAATTTTTTATTTGTAAAATGAATAAATATAAAATTATAATTAAAATATTTTAACGATAATTATTGTAGTTGTGATGGTAATGACTATCTGTGGTGGTTGTGTGTGCTGACTGGGGATGGTGGTTACTGGGGATTTCGGTTGATGAGGATGGTTGTGGGTAGTGACTTGTAATGATGGTAGTTAGCAATATTGATTAACGATGATGGTTAACGGTGATATTTGATAATGGCGGCTAATAATTGTGTAGATAATACTGATTGCTAATTGGTGATTGATAGTGACTGATAGTGATATACATTGATGTTTGATGGTCACGATTGTCAGTAATTGGTACGCCCAGTGGTACCAATTCTGCCCTTCATCTCTTCCTCTCGTAAAACAAGGTCTGCAAATTCCAAAATCAGTTAGGGACAATATCTAATTACATAAAGAAATTTGGATTGCGGCCTCTACAAGATGAGCTCATTAGGATTTACTTGGTGGCTACTCTACCCAAACCCTAATTCATGCTTATAAATAAGGCTATATATGTCCCTCAAAAACCATAAACTCTCAGAATATCTACAAAGAGATCGAATATATTATCTCCGAAATTCCATAAAACTTTTGGAATATTCATTAAGAGATCAAAGACATGTCAAATATGTCTTGCTCAAAGTCCTACGTTCGAGAAATACGCCGCTAAGGCCTGCGAATCACGTAGAACAAATCAGAGGAAATAATCAAGGGAAAAACAGAGTTGTAACCCGTAAAGTTTATCAATAAAATCCTTTTTTTCTTTATAGTTGTTTGTGATTGCAGTTTTGTTTTCTGCGCCAATTTATTGCAAACAGATGGTTGGTGTGATAATTGTAAATGGTGGCTAGTAATGGTAATGGATGGTGGTGGTAGTGATTATGAACGAGAAATGGTCGGTGGAGTAGTTGATAATAGTGGTTGATGGTTGTAGTTGAGCATGATATTGGTGGGTGTTGGTAGGCGATAATGGTTGGCGATAGCGACAGTTAATTATGAAAGTGGTAATAGCATTTTAATAAAATTAAAATATTATTATAGATTTTAATCATTCACACCTATTCAAACTCATTAGGTGCTTGTAAAATGAACATACTTATTGCTCATTTGTTGTGAGGTATAATACGATATAATCTTGATATAAGTTTTGGTATTTTCTATACATTGTTTGGTGTGTATGTTTAACCTTGTATAACTAATCATGGTATAAGTTACTACCGAAATTGGTGTATTATTTTATAGCTAACATAACTTGATATAATAATACATGGATTAAAATTACAACACACAATTACTCTGCCTTTTCGGCTTTTCCTCAAAACTATCATCAATACTATTTACATCCCATTTCGTGTACAAAGAACCAAATGTTCGATAAAAAATAATCTATGCATGATAATACTTGTATTGTTAATCCTTGTATTAAAATCCATGCATAAACTTGTTGCTCAACCAAACGATTCCTTAGTGATTGAGATCTAAATGGCTAAAATTCAAACCTGAAAATAGAGACACTTAATGACTAAATTTGGATAACTAAGACATGAACCTTCATTAAATATAATTGGGAGTGGCAAACGGGTGGGCGAGTCGGATATGGTTCGGGTTGAAAATGGGTAATGAGAAAACGGATAAATTATCGACCCAACCCATATTTAATACGGATAAAAAATGGGTTAACTGACAGATAATATGGTAAATACTATCCATGACTTCTTGAATATGATCACTTTTGAGAGAATTCCTAGTCTCCCAAACTTGAGGAACCTCCAATTTGAGGTTTTACAAATGTAAAAGTTAAACTCATTGGTCATTGGTTACTCATTGGTTAACCATTTTCTAAATTTATGATATGGTTCTTATCCATATTTGACCCGTTTTAAAAAAGTTTATTATTCAACCCATTTTTTAGTGGATAATATGGGTGGTTAACTTCTTTTTTTAACCATTTTGCCACCACTAAATACAACAAAATAAGGTCTAATCACCCTCAACAGTAAGGTAAAAATTGCACGGGGCGCCCTATTTGATCGTCCTCATTTAACCTATACCCATTTTTTAAAAAACTTTTAACTTATACTCACTTTTTAAATAACTTCAGCCTCATTTCTTCTCCTCCTTCCTTTTCTTCTTCTTCATTAGATCCTGCCTTTTCTATACCTTTTCTGACATGTTCTCAATAGCTGATGTCATTCTTCTATCAGATTCTTTTTCAATTCACCGCACCATTCATTAACCTTTAACTTTAAATTCACTTGCAGAAAAAAGAATACTGATATCTAAAGTAGAAAACAATTCCAGTAAGCAGCGGTCACCCTTTCAGGAAACAGAAATAAAATTCTTTTTTTTTTTCATCTTAAGTTTTGATCTTTCTTTCAAATTAATAGAGTTAATCAACCTAAGCAAACTAATTATGACTTATAATTGATAAACAGAATTTGTCCAAGGTTACTTCAACTGGTGCAATGACTTATTCTTTCATACAAGCCATTTACAAAACAAAAGTTGGCAGTTACAAAAACAAAAACTTCAGTTCTAGAGCTGAAATTTGCCAGTTACAAAAATAAAAACTTCAGCACACTTGGTTCAGCACACTTGCTACTTTAGGCGCGTCTACTAGAATGCTAAAGTTTTGCGTGATTGTCTTTGCTACTTCAGCCCCGAATGCTGAAATTATGCGAAAAAGCGGGTACGCTTGCAATTTTTTTTGTAAAGCGGGCACAAGTTAAAACGTGACACAAAAAGCGGGTATAGATGCAAATGCCCCACACTAAGTGGGCCAGTTAAGTTAATTCTCCTCTATTTACTTTTTTTTTCACCTAATGTATGATATGGTGTTAGATTTACATAATTACACTAGTTTGAATTAAAATATTTTTAATTAGTGTTAGTGTCCATTTAATCCCAGTACTAACATCCTTTGTTGGAAAATTTCACATACTACTTCTATAAAAGTTGAATTTCCTTAACGTATTTTGGCTCCGCCATTTGAGGGAAGGGCCCTTCATTGATAAATCGGCAAAGGGCCAAATATACCCCTTTACTTTCAAATATTGTTTATTTGTACCCTTCATTATACTATTGGGTTATTCATACCCCTACCGATATACTTTGGAACAAAAATATCCCTATTTTGAATGGAGTGCCACGTGGCAACACCAGATTAAAATGACTCATTTCTTTTTTTTACCCAACCCATTTTACAAAAAACCCACAACCCGAAACATATTTTCATTTTTCAGTTTTTTTTAAAAAAAATCTTTTTGTAAAACTTAAAAAAAAAATTGCAAAATATTTTGTTTTTTAAACTGAGTAGATACTGAAAAGATTTTGCAAAACAAATTGTAAAAAATGAAAAAATCATTTTTTAACACAATTTTTGTTGTAAAAACTGGAAAAAATCCATTTTTTAACAAAATATTTTCGTTTTTTAAAAATTGAAAAATATTTCCAACAAAATATTTTCGTTTTTGAAACATATTTTTTTTTTAGTTTTTTTTTAAAGATTTCCTTTTTTGTAAAAACTGAAAAAACAAATTTGTATAAACTGAATTTTTTTTGTAAAAACAGAAAAAAATATTTTCGTTTTTTAACAAAATATTTTCGTTTTTTAAAAACTGAAAAAATTATTTTCAACAAAATATTTTCGTTTTTGAAAAATATTTTTTTCATTTATTCAGTTCTTTAAAAGAATTTTCTTTTGTAAAAACTGGAAAAAAATATTTTTTGTTTTTTAACAAAATATTTTCATTTTTTAAAAACTGAATTTTTTAAAAAAAATTGGAAAAAATGAAAATAGGGGTCGGGTAAAAAAAAGAAATGGATCGTTTTAATCTGGTGTTGCCACGTGTCACTTCATCCAAAATAGGGGTATTTTTGTTTCAAAGTATGACAGTAGGGGTATATATAACCCAATAGTATGACGGTATGAGTATAGATAGCCCAATAGTATAACGAGGGGTACAGGTAAACAATATTTAAAAGTAGAGGGGTATATTTAGCCATTTGCCGTTGATAAATTATACTACGCAAATGGATAAAGATAAAAAAGATTGTTACATATAAACTGCTAAATCCCTTTAATACAATGAAAATTCCTGTGTTGTGATAGAGAGTTCAAAGTTTTTAGGTCACAAGTTAAGCCTGCAACTTTTTGTACTCGACTCGATTGAAACTGCTCCTAACTATCCTCTCCTGGGTTTAGAAATCCTTAAATTGAAATTCCTACATTTACAATTTCTGCTATAAATACGCACAAATGTTTTATAAAACTTCGACCATGTAAGTGCTAAGTCGAGTCACTTTTTCAGGTACCGGAGGTATAACATTCATTACTACTCTACACTGAAGAGGAATATCATTGTGCAGAAAGTTACAAAAACAAAATCCCAAAATAAAGGCATACTATACATAAGTGATGATATTTCCTATAATCGTGTTGATAAAAGTGTGAAAGCAAATAAAGGATTGAACACAAAAATTGATGGCTAAATACACTTGCCAATTATCATACCAAAAGGCCACAAAACTAGCCTCATCCTATGAACAAGAAAACTCCCTGTTTATTTTTTCGTATAGCTTTTACAAACAATTGTTTATAGTTAAACTAAGGAGATAGAAAATGTGCCGGTGAGCTAATAGTGGTCAGCTTAGCAAACATCACAAAGAATAGTAGCTCTCCACTGCACCAGAAGCAAAGAGGGCTTGTGATGATGGCGGAGAGATCAAATGAGTACTCTCATGAATGGTCACCCCCTGCATTTCTCGAACCTTCTATACACCTACTGACGATAAAGGCCAAAATTATGCCCACCGCCGTTAGAATCTGCACCACCATACATTGGTGACCATAGCTCACCCGAATGGGATGCATAGTGTGATCTAGAGTTAGGAGAAGTGGTGTATGAATCAGTTGAGCCACTGCTTGTATTGTACATTGATGATGTTGGAAGCCCGTGAATCCTTGGAAGGCCCGTTTGATCCGTACCCAAGCTGTAGCCCCTTTCAACTGTCTCAGTATCAAGTGGTAACTCCTCCAATGTCTGAAAACCAGAAGTAAAGTCATAATAACCCAAGCAAACCTAGAGAATGATGACAAACTGAACATCTTAAAGAATCTACACCACTAGGATCCACTTAACAGACGGTTTCACAAGGAGTAGTACAATGACAAATAGAATACCCAACAGAACAGATTTCGTAAGGAGTATAATGACAATGAAAAAAGGCAAAGTGCAGTTACGAGTGTCATACATCTTCCCAACTTAAACAAGCTTTTCTGCTGTAGTTCCTAAATAAAGCCTAAAATGAGATGCAACTTATCAAAACCATAAACATTCTATCAAAAAGCTTAGTGAGCCTTGAAATGTAATATATGCAAAAATATACTCCTAGTGATGATGGTGAAGATTTGACCTTGGAAGCTTGCTGAAGAACACGAAGTGTCTCTCGTGTACGCTTTCTCTTTGTGGCTATCTCATCAGGTTCTTGCAACATTTCTTCGAAGAGGTTGTCTCTGCAACACATAGTAAGCACCATTGATAAGAATCACGAGTACATTTGAAATATGTAGCATTGACTTGGCTAAGCTGCCAGGTGTTAGAAACAACACACAAGTAGAACATAAGCACATATAATGTCATGCAGCACAAAGCATAATGAAGGATCAATGAGCCACGATCCGGCAGTTCCAGTTATACAAGTTTAGTCGTCAAGAATGAGAGGAAGAAAAAAAGAAATTCACACTCCCAATACCTGTAAAGTTTCTCGATAAACACATTGTGGAGATCTCTTTTGGTCTGATTTACCTGGAGCACGGATTAGCACCAGTTTTGTCAACAAAAGAGAAATGTGAATCAAAATTGAAAATCGTATAAGCCTTCTTATTAGAAATTGAAAACACAGCACCTTGAGTCTAATAATGCTACATCAAGAAGAGACACCAGACACTTTTTCATATTTAGAAGAATTGTACCAACAAAAGGTAGTCAACAATTCCAGCTATACAGAAATTTCCACCGCATAGAATAAAGAAGTTAACATTTTTCACAGAGTAGGAACTTGACTAAACAGTACTATGACAAAATAAGAAGTTGGTCGAAAGTAAAATATATATATATATTACTTTTGCCAGGAAAAAATTAGCCTCTTAACTGCTGGCAGAAAACCAAACATTAACACTAGTTCCCTGCGCTTTTAGAATATGACAAAAGCAGATTATCATGTTCATTACTCCATTTTGTCTCCAGGTTGACTAAAATCCCTTGTTTGCATATCACTACTTATTCTATGTCAGTGGCTTGTAGTGCTGAAAAATTTCTGCCTGAAAGAGTACATCCTTTTAGTAGGAGATAAGAGAATGCGACTAGATGGAAGAACTTATATTATCATTTAGGGTTCGTTTGGTAGGATGTATTAGATAAAAATAATACATGCATTAGCTTTGTGTATTAATAATACCTTGTTTGGTACATTTTTTGAACCTATGCATTAGTTATGCAAGCTTTAGTTATACATCCTATTTGGTATTATCCTATATGCATAACTAATGCATAGGAAACCATGGTATTAACAATGCAATGGGTTTTAATGCATGCATTATCTCAGTTAAAGACAAAATTGCCCTTCAAAATTTATGCTTGATTAAAATATGTTATTATATTGAAACAAGTTTGATGTAAAGTTTGTTACTGAAATTACTCCCGCAATTTATATCTATACTCAGCCAATTTCTTCATTGTAAATTTATAAATTTGTACTCTACTACTACATACATGAATGCACTTGTAATCAACTCATTTTCCTTTAATTTTTTTAATTCAAACTTTCTATGCCTAATAATCCAAGAAAGTGGGAAACAAAATTATATCCCTATTAGATAAATAAAAATACACAGCATATTTCTTTTTTTATAAATAAATATTCAATTCTATACTACACTATAGGTAGACAAATCAAATAATTCTTTTTTAAACCTTTTTTCATATAAAAACATTCTTCAACATATGTTTCATCTAAAAAGATAAAGTGATGGACTGGCTATAAGGGTGGTATTTTTATAAACAAACAATTCTTTTAGAAATCGTGCAATGCTTTAATACATCAAACCAAACAATGGATAAGAAATATGTCAAGATAACTAATGTCAACATAACTAATGCGAGCATAACTAATACCAGCATTACTAATATGTCATATTCAATATTATTCTTATGCACCCTACCAAACGACCCCTTAATTAGAACAAAGAAACTGCTAGAATATTATATTTAGGAATCCTCAAGACTACCAGTAGATAGAACGAAGAAACCCTAAGCACAAGTCCATTGAAAGGCTACTCACATAGATGTCAAAAATATTTCAGTAAAGGACCAAGTAATTGCTATTCATAATTACCAGAAAATGCATGATTGCTTTAGGTATTGAGTCTTCAATATTCTTCCTGACAATGTCATAGTATGACCTCAATAACAGTTTTGTGATGGCAATTTCAATAGTCTCCTGGTCTGAATGAGTTTCTGAAGGCCTCAAGACACTTGGGGGCTTCAAACAAAACATAAGAGATGTCATGTTTGATTTTATCACCAACTTAATCCATAAAGTACTCATACAGCAGAGAGGGCCTTCAAAACACATACCTCTCTCAAGTAGATCATTGAGAAAGCATGATCCATGTTCTGTACAGGATCACTGAACGGCTTGCTAATGAAATTGTCTTTCGCAGAAGAACGATTGTCCGAGCCACCAAATATTGATGATATCCCCCAACTTGAACCAACATTTGATCCTAATAAAGAAATAAGTCAGCAATGGCTTTGACAATAAGAACCAGCAAAATATTACTTCCTAAAGATAATAAGGAGTCCAGAAAAAGGAATGAATTCATAATAAGCAGTAACAGAAAAGTTCAAGGTGCTTTTCGAACTAAAGAGCACCAAAAGATACACAGGGAGGACTTTTTCATAAAGCCACATTGGCAAACGGCTAGAATCCTTATACAAAATATTCATTCCCTTCTTGTCAATCAAAATAACTAATAACTAATAACCCATGTAGCGACACGTGTATGAATGAATGCATCATGTATTACCAGATGGAAACACACCTGATGTTGTGGTTTTCTCGACTTCTGGAACAGGCCGAACAACCTATTTCCAGTCCAGAAGGAACACTAATCAATCAATGCAAATAACTTAAGCTTCTTACTACTTGAAATTTGAAAGCTAGGTGCGATGTCCATCAGGGAGACAAAGAAGAAACCAAGCTAGGAGATTATGAAGCAGAAAAGGCCAACCTGATCAGGGACAAAACCACCAACTGATCTGGCAAAGATAGCACGTGATTTTAGACTTCTTTCAGAGGTTGGAGCTTTTTCTAAATCTACTCCATCCTGGGTATCAATAAGCAAACAAAAAATTATCATCAGTATGATATAATTTGCAAGACCAATTGCTAAAGTCTATGAAACAGCAAATGAAGCATTTACCTTCAGCCTGGGGACAGGTGTAGCAATCCTAGATGACTTGACCTGCTGTAATGCAATCTCCACAGCTTTACTCCCACCAATAAAATTTGGATGTGAAGTATTTATGTAGTCCATCTGCAAGAGAAAAATATATTTAAGCTGAAGCAATATACAAATTTTAACAGCAACAGATTCATCAAAAATTTGGTGATTTGCTAAAGCAAATTCACAAACTTTAAGATGCTTTGGAACTTTGAAATAAGCTGTTCTTTATCTGAGATATCAGATGAGCATAGACCTAGACTCTGAAACCATTAGTTCACTAGAAATGCAGAGCAATCAATCGCAAAATATGATCTGTAAGAAGAGAACAGCTTCAAATTGATGCTAAATATTTGAAAACAGTTGACACTCATTGATCAAGTCAATGAACTTGATCATAGATGTGAATGTCGATGTGTGTATGTGTGTGTGTTGTATTAGGTATCAGCAAAACCAAATAAAAAACCCAACTTCTTTTGGCATACCTCCATGTCAATAATGTGTCCAATCATTACTTCTGAAGGTTGCAGTCCGTGACGCAAAAAATTTCCTATAACCTCATCCATACGCTTTCTCAAAATTGGAAACCGCTGCAACTCATTGACCATACAACGATGGCTCATCTACGAAGGAATCATTTGGGTTAAAACAGTAATTACAAGAATGCATTACCCAGAAAAAAAGGTACTCAACATTGGCCTACTTTTATCAGCTCATCATATATAAACTTGGCACACTGAAAACTCGGTTCCATTAGACGTGCTATTTGCCTTCGGATAAGAACTTCAAATGGGACCTACATATTTACAAAATAATTAAAATGAAACCAACCAAATGACATAAATACTATAGAAAATATTTGATAACGTGTTGAACTATTGGCTCAAAAGCAAAAGCAATTCGCAAAGAACAGGTTAAGCATTTTGGACTTACTTCTGGCACAAATAAAGCAGATTTGGGACCCGTAGCATTTTGAATGGCAGTTCGGATGTCATCATCGGTTAAATCTTCACAAGGATCAACTTCCTGCAGAAGATAGAGAAATCTGATGAAATTTGATAAGCAACTGAACCTAGGATTAAAACTCCAATTATGTGCATCAATATACCAATTTTGCAAAGTTACTGAAAAGTTCTTGCGTCTATCATTCACCTTTTTTACCGCCTCTTAGATTTAGAATTCTTTTACAGCAGATGAGGAAACGATTATTGACAGAAGGAGTTGTCAATAAAAGAATATTCGAAATGGAACACAGGTTTCGGTAATGCGACTATGCTCGTGGATAAAGACCAACTTATGTGGACAAATGATAAAAAATATTCACGGATGGTATATGTGCCCACACCCTTGGCAACAATTTATGACCATCCTGAGAAAAAATTTAATGCCCATGAAAAGCATTATAAGCCCATACGGAGTTGGCTATACTCACAAAAGCATACATATTAAGCTATCTATTGACACAATGTCATTTACGTGCAAGCATTAGCAAGTCTTCAGATGAATTTCAATTCTCTGAGCAAGAAAAGAATAAAAAAGGCTTTTCAAAAGTTAATATGAAAGGTGTGAACCTCCAAACTCTTCACAAATATGTTCTGAAAAATGTAATGAATTCTTGCTCCACCAGAAAGCTCAGAAGTTGACATTTCTTCATTTTTTCCTTCTATCATGGAAGAGAATGCTGTTCTCAAACCAATGAAAAAAGCAAAAGAAAAAAGACGGACTGTTAATGAGGTTACGAGGTGTCAATGGTCAATTAATATGATATTTTATACTAGAAAGCAACATAAGAGATAGCAGATAGAATCCAATACAGGACTCTTATCGAATATTGCAAGGTTTAGGCCACATTACCTTCACTGTACTTGGAAAGAATGTTCAGAAGGAGAGCACCCATACCAGCCTAGATTCAGGGGATTAGCGCAAAGATGTTAATAGTTCGGAATACTAGCTGAACAAGCTACAGTAAAACTAGCAGATAGAAACCTTCCAGGACACAATAACTGGTAGTAATATGACAACAAACTCCCCAAAAATTTAGGCCAGTGCATGGTAAAGCTTAGGTAAGACCAAAGCAGTTACCTGTGACTCTGTGATCTCCCCATAGCTAGCATGCTCCTTTGCGACAGACACAAGTGCAGCACTAATGCGTGATTTCAATCCTGGAAGAAGGGTTTTGATGTGTTGCACCAAGATCTGCATTAAATAAGACTGTTCAAGTTGCTTTGTGACGTAATCTTATTATCCACACAAAGCTAAAGCTACCCAAGTTATATATGATTTTAAAGCAATAAGATGTCCCATACCAGAACTGGAAAGCAAACAGCAGGCATGGGAAATTTGCATTTCCTATGGGACAGAATGACTGAGATTGTGGTGAAGGTGGGTGGTAGCCAATCATCTAACTGATGTAGAAAACAGTAAAAAGACAACAGGTATCTGTTGCACAAATGCAAGTACAAAGGTGCAACCATAAATAGGAAAGACAGCCTTAACATGTCTTTAGAGAAAATAACCCCAGAAATAAAAAGGAAAAATCACAAGACATGACTCTGGTCCAACATATACAAAGGCAAGTAGTAGGAGACCACATGACACATAAGCAACATACAACTAGAATTTTTCATACAGAGAGAGCGTCCAGATTATGATGCTTGTTTTCAAGACGAAATAAGCTGCTTGGTAAAACCCCGATCACATATGCAGGGAACCCAAAAAGAAAGGTAACACAGACACATGTATAAATGTGTATGCTGTGCTTCTCATCTGCCAAAAAAGACATGGTTACTGTGTAAAAAACCTTATTTTATACAACAGCCAGTGACAAGACAAGCATGTCTAAGTATTTCAAGGAAAAAGTATTTCTCAACACATGACGTTTTGCCTTCCTTTTTTTTAATTCAACATGTCAATTACATCTTAAAACTCAAAATAATCAGAGGAAGTCATGAAACTTATAAGTTTTAAATTGATTTGGAGATATTTTGAATATGTAACTGAAAAATACAATGTGTGACCTTACTGTGGTTTCATGTTTTTGATAAAAATTGGTCCTTCAAAGATGTAATGTATGCAATGTCACAACCTAATAGAAGATGAATCACTGTTACTTTAACCGGCAGAGATTACCTGGTTCAACTTTTTTGCCAATTGAGGTACACCACAGCGATCAGCAAGATCACTATATATCTTCAAGAAAAAATCAATAAAACAGGAGATTATTAATGGATATAGACATGAAATCAACTAATAAGAGATGGTAGAAACATACAGGACGGCTGCGGAAGAACTTTTCCTCAGCTACAAGAGCATCCTTAATACTCCGGTTCTTCATAATATCCTGTTTTAAATGATTCAGCTATAATATTATAATCTTATAAAGCAAGTATATACAAATATATATATATATATATATATATATATATATATGCACATATATGCACACAGACACATTTATAAACATAGACTGCTGTCGGCTAAAGCTACTAAAAAGTGTATTAGGTAGTGTTGCTAATATGTAGCAAACTGTTATCTTGTTACCCATTACTTTTTTCTCGGATGAACAAAATCTTTACCTTGTACTCATAAATAGTAATAAATTCAAACTAGTACAGGCAGCATTCAAAGTTGATTTGTTGTACATTATGCACTGACTGCTAAGCTCTTCCGCATTTGAACACAACTTTTAAGATTTTCAAGTTTTTTTCACTACTGCAAAGTTGCACTGGATCTTGACCTCATTATGGTCCCTTTTGGTGTTCAATGGCTATAAGTTTCTCTACTTATTCATCTGTCCTTTAGGCCTATTATAGGGTGGTATAATGCCTCATACTTTTCTCTTTTGGCACAAAAGAAAAGAGTACAGAGAGGAATCATAGAGGTTGCCAGTTTATTGCCTCTATCATGGGTTTAAGTATTGTTTCTATTTTCCTTGAATGGTTTAGTTGTGTCGCCTTAGAGTGCTTTTAATTATCCTTAAAACTAATTGTACTAATCCATGATTCAAAATAAAGCATTGGCCAGTGGTATTCAATAAAGATTACCTCGCGTTCAAAGAGAAAATCACACTCAACAAAATGAAAAGCTAGTAGCCCAAGACCAATTTAGCAGCCCAGAGACTATAAAAGGAAAAGAGACCTGAATTGCACCCCATGCTTCGGACATGAAGATAAATATGCAATCTACCGCACAGCATTTGAAAAATAAGTATTGCCAGCATTACAGAATTTCCTATGAAGAATGATAAGTTAATTGAAAAGAATAAAAAATGCCATTACTTTATTCATCTTCTTCATTTTGCACCTCTTTGGACTAGGCTAGAACATCAGACTCAAAATGAAAAGGCGTAAGTGTGAAATTCTTGAATCACAGAAGAACTCCAAAATTGTACTTGTCCAAAAGTTGAAGCATTATTGTGCAAAGATGACCACGAAATGATCAAAATCACATATCTCAAAAGGTGCCAGGTAAAATTTAGTACGAATGTTGAAAACATGCACTTAGATAACCACGCCCAGGAAAAGAAAACTTGCTAGAGGTGCCTCTCAAAGACCATAAAGACTGTACATATCCATGAAGAATGTGGACAAATTTTTCGTTTTTGGGTCTACACCCATCACAACATGCCTATAAGAATAAAAAGGATTTAAAAGAAAAATGATAACCACAGATGCAACTCCAAAACATAAATATGAAAGCTCAAAAGTGACAAATCAAGAGAAAACAAAACTAAATGAGATAAGTTATGTTCTCCGCCAAAAGTGTAACTGGATGTATTACCTCCTGACAACGATTCACTACACCAACATAACCAAGGCGAAGGGGAATCACTTTTCCAAGTAAAAAGTTACGAGCATCAGTACCCCGATCCATGATGTCCAACTGTAGAAACAGTGAAAATACAACCAAGTTAAAACAATTACCAATGAAGAGATATAATCAACACAAGGATGAAATTCATTTCCTTTCACTCTGACCTTTGTGATGACTCCAATGGTTCGATAACCTGCAAGAAGAAACTCTTCATATAATAAAGCACCTGAACAACTAAACTCCCTAGCATAAAATATATTGTTGCAACATACCATCAGGGTCAGCATTCCCAGCAATCTGAAGCGCATCCGAGTTGGCTAAGTCAGAATTAGCCGGTGTTACAGCCAAAATTAAGCAGCTTGGGAGCTTAATATACGACATTATCATTGTTCTGATCCGAGCTTCAATATCAGAAGGCTGATCTCCAACAGGCACCTTTGTTATGCCAGGCAAATCCACCAGAGTAATATCAAGGACATTTGGTGAGAAAATTTTCAACCGTATCTGCTTGTCTGAGATACCTTTATTTACTCCTACTTCGCGTTCTGTCTCCGCCTAAAGCCCATGATGAAGGATTGGGAGTTAGAAAAGAGAAAGAATTACTGAAATATCAAGGAAAGAAATCACACGGATGTATTATGTTGGCCGTCCTTCCCTCATGAAATCCTTGCTACTGGATGTTACTATGTATATATTTCTACATCAAAATCGATGGTCAGTCTATTAACAATCTTCTTTAACCATAACTGATGCACAGACAAGAAGATGAGCTTAACAATCACAACCACACTGTTTCTCCTTGCCCATGTCAAGGAGACACTATCTTAGAATACAGCTTACCATATAGATCTGTTATATATTACGGGTAGAGCATTGTCCTTTTGAAAGATAACTACATTAGCCTCAGTTCTTCAACTACGTAATGTTACGACCAAAGTGAATCCTATGCAAGAAAACGAGAGTCCACATTGTCTACAAATTAAGATGAGTGGTTCGTAGGACGCGCACAATATTATCTACCCAGGAACGCTCACACCCATAAGATAAAGGAGTGCATCACCCAATCAATAAACTACGCCTTGGTCAAAAACTAGATGAAGTTGGTCACATGCCCTCTATATCCATTCCACTTTATTCATGCCCACTTCATTGCAATACTTAATATTTTACATCTTTCAAAATAAATCAGGTGCTTTCTAAAATTGAATAGATAAATGAACTGGCATAAAAGAATTAAGAAGTGTGATAACTAAATCAATGCACATCATAACAACAAAAGAATCTAAACCTGTAATAGCACTCAAGAAGGTCAAGGGTCAATAAAAACTTGTGTCTTATGAATAAGCCCCTCAGCTTCCAATGACCACGGTAATAAAAATCCCGCAAAACAGAATAATTCATAAGAGCAAAGAAGATCCCGTAAACAAGTATGGGTAATGATAGGCAGGGATACGGACATCACTTTCATTAACATTGTTGGTGTTACAGACTGGTGCATACACTTTGACGTGTAAGTTTGACGCTCTTCTACAGAATTTTCAATGTCACATAACAGGAGTGTATGCTCCAAATTGTAGAATAGAAAGGAAAAAAGTATGGAGAGAAATGGGTGCAGTGAGGGGATTGATGGAAGGTCCTTGGGCAGTTTGTGGCGATTTTAACGTTACAAGGTACCCTTCTGAAAAACGGGAATGTTCAAGGAGGTCTAGAGCGATGGTGGAGTTTTCGGATTGTATAGAAGATATGGAGTTAATAGATCTTCGACTTGAAGGAGGAAACTATACTTGGTTCAAAGNGTCTAGAGCGATGGTGGAGTTTTCGGATTGTATAGAAGATATGGAGTTAATAGATCTTCGACTTGAA